GCTATTTAAAATTTGATTGAATTTCGGGGCAATTAGTTTCAAAAAATTAATTTTTAAAATAATATTTTTTTGACTAAATAATTATTTTTTCCATCTATATAAACTCTCTTGCAGCGGTGGAAATTAAAGTAATTTGCGAATGTGTGTAGTAACTTTTGCGATACTACGCGCGCAGATTTAAACAAACAACAATAACTAAGAGTTGGTCACGAGTTTAATCGCGAAAGTGCCAGGTTTGTTAGGGTCAGCGAAAAAATCTCACTTCTCGGACCGCTACGAGGATACTCCTCTCCGGTCGTTAAGCAGGAGATAGAATATCCTGGAAATTGCCCGATATTATATATCTGACACGTAAGAGCCGTAGTAAGCGATAGTATGCGCTGCGAGCTGCAGATGCATTCCTGGGACTGTTTCTTGTCATCTTTGAATTTTTAACCAATAATTTTAGAGAATTTACGTTAAAAAGAGAAAGAGAGAAACTTACTATGTTCGCATATTTAAAAAAATATAATCCAATTTGCAATTTTGTTTAAATATAAATATAAAAAATGTTGTGGCATCAGCGTTCTATTTTCTCGCGACAAGATAATTCTGATTGATTTATAATTTTATATTCATTCGATCGAGTATTAGAAAAATACATATAATATTCGGCAGTGTATTATAAAATCTTGTTAGTAATATTTATTATATATATATATATATAATAAATATTACTAACTCTTAAGTAATAAATATTACTATTATATATATATACATATATCATAAATTATTTTTTCTAAAAACATTAATGTAATTGATTAACAAATTATGCTATAATAAAATTTTCACAATTATTGCCTTTTAAAGAAACAACCGATGCACATACGAGCATATCGCATAATATCAGAATAATAGAGTAACAGACTGTTGGGCGTTTCTGTTTTCCGCACAACTAACAATAAGCAAGAGTTATATAATGTCTAGATTTGGTACAATGCGAACTATTTTTTTTATATTAAAACGACACGACACAGGAAAGAAAAGAAGGAATCGAAATATAAAAAAAACTGTCGCAAAAAATTACGCCGTCATTGTGTTTTCAAGCAAAAACACGATTCCAAGTGGAAATTCGATTTTCACAGCCGCGAAAATACGCACTCTATTCACGTGTATCTAAATTCATAATAAATTAAAAACATAAAACACGGATCGGAGAGAAACGTACGGGCTGCAATCGCAAATTCACACGTGATCAAAATGCAAAGGCAAAAGTGTCGCTACACGAACATGCTGTTTCACAAACTCCCTGACATTTTGCCAATAACAAATTGCTCGGCATTATACTTAATTCCTTTGCAATGAGAACGAGAAATAATTTATATAAAAATCGGAAAAAAAACATTGCGAAAGTTTTGTGTAATTTTATAATATATTTTAGCACACGAAATATAATTTCTAAAGAGAATTATGTATGCGTTAATTTATAAATAATGCCGATAAAAAACTAAAATAATAAAAATACTTCGTACATGTGATAAATTCGAAAAAAGAGGAAGAATCAATGCGAATAAATTAAAACAACGATTGATCGAGAATACATTTATAGATATACAGCATGCATTATCTGTGTTGCATATGTATTTTGATTGGCCAATTTTGCATTTCCCAACGATTGTCCAACTCGTGAGAAAATGTCAAGGGGTTCTCGCCGTAGCAAATCTCCGTTGCATGCATCAGAATGTACCCTGGTTGGCTAACGGCCAAAAACACTGACAGAAGCCTCACCAATGAAAGGACCTTCACCCCGCAGGCGCGTTTCCATGCGCCAAGGAGACATAATTAAACTAACAATGTCGAGAGAAATGTACCCCGCTGTCCAACCCCCTCTCCCATTCCGGAACCTTTTTGCGACGCGAATCTCGCTTAATGACAGAAATTTCGGTTTGCGCTCTCGTCCGAGAGAACTTCCACTCTAGAAACTAAGCACATTACGAATGTAGCCAGAAAAAAATAGAGCGAGGCTGTCACACATTGAGTGCCCCTAAAAAGAAGAGTCGTACAATCGTGTATTTGTGCTCGAGCCACTTTTATATAAATATTTAATCAGATAAATAAACTAAATAATAATTTTGTAACTATTTAAAAATATTAAAAAGAAAATTAATTCACGAATATTGACATATTATGCTATTTTGAAAATTTCCCTTTCTAGAATTTATTTAACTTTCACCGAAACATCTAAATTTTCTTTTTGTCGATAAAAAATATTTAATTATATTATGTTACATCTTTTTCTATGTACTTATCATGGATTTAAAAAATCAGAAGAAAATATTTCACAAGGCACGCGTTTGGTCCAAAGAGAATTAAGGCGCCGCCACTCAAGCTCAGGAATCTCTTTAAGAAGATTGTTTTTACAACGACTGCCATCTGTATCGCGTCAGGATTCGACCACGAGGCAAAAAATCCAACGAGTAAGGTATCGAACGTCGAGCAAACGACAGTTCTCCGCCGGTATAATTCTCTAGCTACACCACTTAAGGACGGTTCCCCGGTGTTCTTTCCACCCTCCGCCAGATGGCGACAGGCAAACTCCACTGATAAGGGTTATTTTGCAGAGAGATTTGTATCCTCGGCGATTAATCTATCGTGCTAACTGCATATCGATTGGATTCCTGAATCAAAAAATCTTGAATTCTTGTACTTGGGACAGATTTGGAATCTTTCCATATGAATACTTGTGTACTTAAAAAAATTGATACATTCTTGCATTTTTCTGAATATTGAACTAGGGATTTAAAAAAATCTCCAGCTTGAAAAATCCTTGAACGTTTTGCTTCATCGAATTTATAGATCCCGTTAAATTACAAATTTTTAATTTTGCAAATTTTTTTGAATGAGATTTTTTGGTCCTCAAATCTGGAAATTCGCAAACTGACAATTTTTTTGCATCCATACAAATCTTTCAACCCATAGACACAGATCCGCGTGGAAAATCATAAAAAGGGAGACCCAACGAATCGAAATGAGGCACGTGAAACCTCAACTAGACATCCTTATCACATGCCGTGACAAACCATCAACCCTCAACGGATAACGATGAGATCAAAATGGAAAGAGTCGTCATGGATCTTCTTCGCAACAAAAGCAACGCAAATCGCACTCTCGTAAAGCTGACGCTGTAAATTTCGATCCTATAAAATCTGTATATATCCTTCCTCGGTGCGTCTCACACATACACTTTTACAATTCCACCTGACTCACGCCGGTATATCTCCCTAGCGACGGGGCGAAAAGAAAGATGGGATGCGGGAAGCGCTGGAAAATAAAAGAGGGAGAGATCTGTCTCTCATGGGAGACGAAAACGAGTTCAAACGAACGATAAGAGAGAAAGACAAGAAACGTTACAATATACATACGATATACAAACGATGCCAACGAAGACACACATATATGACGTACGAATAGGAACGAAACATCAATAAAAGAGTTGAGCAAATTGACAGTAAAACAATGACACTGAAGACACAAACAATGAAGAAGATGAGAACACGTATATGGAAAACATGCGTGAAAAGAACCGGACGAGAAGCGACGATAGAGGACAAGCTGAAGGAACGAGAAAGAAAGAGAGAAACAAAGAAAATAAAATTAGCTATAATTGTAATCTTAATTACAATCTTCGTTTTATTCTTACTCTATAGTTTCTACGAAATCCAAAAATCTTTGCAAACTTTATTTACATCTCTTTATATTTATATAGGGTATTTTAAATCACCCATCCACCCCTTTTATTTTGAAAGGGATGATGTTAAGAAGTTGGGACAAACATGTTTACCATAAGAACCTATCTGAAGTTTCTGATGATGGGACTTTTATTTTTAGGAAACCCCCGGAAATACCGAGAAGCGAGGGCAACTTAAAAATTTGAAATAGTAACATGGGGCAACATTTCTCGATAACGGTAAGTGATACTAAATTTTTTTTCAAACAAAAGTTGTTTCTTTCTGAAAGCTCTACCCAACGATAACCATGTTGTCCTATGTTGGCATTTAAAATTTTTAAGTTGCCCTCGCTTCTCGGTATTTCCGGAGGTTTCCCAAAAATGAAAGTCCCATCATCAGAAACTTCAGGCTTTTATGATAAACATGTTTGTCCCAACTTCCTAGCACTATCCCTTTCCAAAATAAAAGAGGTGGACAGGTAGTCTGAAACACCCTGTATATTCTCTCTTGTAAAATTTTTCATGTACCAAGAAAAGAGAGATAACAGTTATGGTAAAGCAAGTCAAAAAATACAAAGAAAATCTAGAGAGACCGTTGGAAAAAAACCTGTTACAAAAAATCTCTATTAAACGCTCTTTTATCTCCTGAAGAGAGATGTTTAAGTAACAATGAAATATTCCGTCGAGATTCGCCCCGGCTCTCATTCAACAAAACCGTTTACCAATTAAATACAATCTTTTCTCTTCCTCTTTCGTCACAAACTCACCGGGAAGTGAAAATAAACGGAAAACGAGAGAGAGAAATGGCGGGCAAATGGAGACACGTGTGTGGGAGTGTCATGGGGTGGCAGGGTGGCGGTGGTAAAGGGGTGGTTCGGTGGTGCTGTACCGCGCACAGGTAATGCTCTCTGTCCATGATATAAGAATACCAATTGCGGCATCGCGTACAATGGCTTCAAGATTAATTAAACGCGTTTATCCATTTTACAATTAATTTGACATTCCCGTTTATCAAGAAATATTTGCGAGAGATAATATTGTAATACGCCTTGAAACAAGCCGATTGAGAAATCGTCATCGTGATTTTAAACTTTAATCGCCAAATCCTATTCTCTCGCGTTAAATTCATAATTTATTTAATTTTCATCTAAATCATCGCCCAAACTATAGATCCTAACGTCTGCGCCTCTCGCGCATCAACCGGGTATTCTTGCATCACAAACGGGGCGCACGTGCGTGTCATTAGACTCGGCCTCGATGTGGCTAGAAACCAGCTAGGAGATTGTCGGCTTACCTGCCGGAACTGTCGTATCCCGCCATTGATCCGCAGCGAGTCCGCGGCGATGCCGGCTATCCCGTCACCCGGCTCGCGTAGCTGCCGCAGCGAGGCGGCGCTCGGCGCCGCGCCGGTGTGCAGCGGGCAGCAACAGCCGGAGCAGCAGCACGCGGACGCCTCCGGCTGCGAGCTCTGCCGTATTATGCGCGCGTTGGGCGACGTGGTGACCAGCACCGGCGGCGGCGGCGCCTGACACGGGCAGCAGTGGTGGCCGCTCTTCACGCTCTCCCTTCGCGAACAGAAAACACTGGGCCGGTTACATCCGCTCTCAACGGAAGGGAAAAGAATCTAAAACCTATACTGTAAACAATTTTCTAAAAATTCAGACACATTTTTGTCTGAATTTTCAGATCTGGGTGTCTGAATGAAATTTCAGATAATCTGTCTTAATCATCAGAATCGTTTTTCTGACAGTTCAGAAAAGTGTATCTGAAAATTGATGTGTCTGCAAATTCAGACAGCATCTTGTCTGAAAATTCAGACAGTGTGTCGGCAAAAAAGCTGCAAATATTTTGCGTGGAGTTTCAGTCAGTTTTCTTTTACAGTGTAATCCTCTTCCAACGCCTTTTCTTTTCTCGTAAAATTTGTCTCGAGTCTTACAAGTTTGATTTGGCCGTCTGGTTTTGGCCTTGATTGACATATTTATACTTTAAAGACAAATTGATCCTTATTTCCAAATCTATTTGTAATTTTTGTTTCCGGAAAAGTAAAGCTACAGGATGTCTATTCAAATCTTGTAAAAAAGTTCCCTGAAAGTTCCCTGATCTTTCAGGTACTTTTGTTCAAAACTCCAAGTAAAGAGAATATTTTAAAGAATTTTTGGTGTAGTTCCCTAGAATAAGCTTTTTTATTGCACGTTTTCTAATGCTTTTCATTTATACAAAGAAAAAACATAAAGCCACTTAAGTTTCAATTGTTAGATTTACAAATGCACTGAAAAAAATTGAATTGCTTTAAGATAAAAATTTTTAGCTTAACATTTTCATTTTTTATCACTAAAAATTAAAATAAAGAATATGTACTGTATATTCAATATCTTGTTAAGACACTGAATATATAAACTGAGATAGATATATATTTATAATATATTTTAAATACATAATTCACAACTTGGCTTATTGACGGATAGCCTATTGCTTACAATATAAGAGTAAAATTATCAAAGAGAGAAATAAAAAAAAAAAATTCCCTGTGTCCTAATAAAAAATGTGTCCCAATAAATTACATGAAAATTCTCTGATTTCTCTAGATACAAAATAATCTTGTGTGATACAGAATCTTCTTTGAAAATTGCACCTGTCTTTTAAAATTTGAAAATTTAATTTTAAAATTGATCTCGTTGAATTCATTTTCTACGGAACTTTTAAAAAATTTTATTTTAATTTTTTATGCTTTTACTTTATTCCTATGATAAATAAAAAATGAATACATACATACAGACATTTTCTAGGAAAAAAAAATTTTGTCACGAAAAAATGAAATAATTTTTAGTTAACTTGTAGCTAAATTTAATATTGCATATGCTATCTCATTTATTAATGTTTTCTCATTTTTTTTATTTTAAAAATTATTTGTAGCATGTGGAATATTAAGCTTAATATTTAATTGTAACTATGTTTAACTTGATATGATTAATAGCAAGATGATGCAATAAAAAACATTAGATAAAAAAAAGTTGGACCATTCGTAATTTTATTCGGAAATATAATATCGCTGTAATCGGCTGCTCTCGTATCGTTTATAGTCGCTACAATTTTATGGCTGCCGTAAACTATAAAGTCGAATTGATAGTCTCAAATACGCTATCCAATATTGCACATGGCCACCCGTCCATAGACTAATTTCACTAAAAATTGCTGCCCTGCTAAATTGGTAGCATACGTAGTGTCTCAAAGGTACTCTTTTTAGCCATAGATAATATTTAAAATACTGATTATTTCGACATTCAGGCATGAACAATTTTCAAATTATAAGCGAAACCATGAATTAACAAACTTCTCTAAATTTAAATCTGAAAAATATCTCTCTCTTCAACTCTAATTTCAACTATATTTTATTTTAGCAAAAATTTTATTTTTTAGATGACTACAAAGATCATTATAAAATTATAAAACAATTCCATTCATTAAATTCTGGAAAATTCCAGATTTATCAAGGAAAACATATAATATACGTCATTTCTAGAATAGCAGTACACGAAATTGCTAATGAAATTACTGTGAATCTGGCAAACTTCGGTTGAATACGAGTAATCCAATTTTGTCGTTAGAATGTATAGAATATGACTAGAGTTCTCTTTGTTTGAAAGCATCCTAAGCCAAGAGCCCTCGGCTTTTACAGGACAGACGGTGAGACTGTCGACTAGGAGATATCATTAACCGACGCGCCTTCGACCTTAGGTGAAAACTGAAGTCTCTTAGCTTTATGAATGGCTTTTCGGGATAACAATAGATCTTTTATTCATGATTCAATATATTTTCCACTATATTCTACGTCATAAGTATAAAAGATGTGTTTACAAAACATAACTTTCTTGATAAATAAATATTGTAATATAATACAATGACAACATACTCTACATCGACAACGATGCAATACTATTCAAGAGTCTTGTGTATAATCTGTTAGGAGTTTTATACATCAATAAAATCTTTTAGAACAAGAATTTTTTTTTTTATTGAAGTTCTTGATATACGTAAGCTTTAAATGGAAATTGTAAAATACGATAAATTTGAAATTAAAGCGTTGTTTGCTGTTTATATTAAATGTTCAAACTTTCAATATTAAACCTTTTATTACAATTTTTTCCATCTTAAGAATATAATTATTATTAGCCTCAGCTCATTAATTTTAATTTAACTTCAAATTATAATATTATCATGCCTCAGCTCATTAAGAATATAATTATTATTTGCCTCCGCTCGTTAATTCTAATTTAACTTAAGATTATATTTATTATTGTGCCTCAGTTCATTAATTTTAATTTATAACTTTAATCCATTTTATTTTAATGCAAACTCAATATTTACAAAAAAATTGAAAATAAAAATGAAGAGAATCTGTAGTCTTCCAATAAATTTTGACCAACAATTGACAAAATCAGCTAAAACATAATGGTTGAAAAAGATCGTAAAAGTAAAAAGAGAGATCAACATTGCGATTTTTACATCGGGAATTCTCAGCAACGACGTTTTTTTATATGTCATTTCTCTCTATCTTCCCGGCAATCCCCGGCATATATTTCTTCGGCCTTCGAAAGCGAGTCGCGGGACAACGTAAAATTCCGCAGCTAAACTTTCGACCCGCTAACGCGAGATTGTTCTAGAAACTCGCGATAGTAGCAAACGCGGGGGGGGGGGGGGTTTCAAGGAATTTCCTTAAACCGGCCAAGAGGAAAGCCTGTTCCGCCTGGGCGATCCTCGTCTAAGGAAACAGAGATGTCTCATTTTTCCGAGAGCAACGCATTTCTCTCGAGAAAAGACGGTGATTCTCGGCGGATTGTCCGGCGCACTTAGATAAAAATGGCCGATTCGCCAGCTATTCCGCGAATAGATTCTCCCCCTCTCTCTCCAGATAAAAATCCCTTAATTTCACAAACTTCCCGCGTAATGAAAAATTAAATCGCCCGCTTTAAAGATTTTTCTTCTCGCGTAGAGAATAACATTTTTATGCATTGCGAAAATTGCAAAGCTGGATATGTTCGAAAAACGAGATACATTCAATAAATATATTGGAAATCTTATACAATATATGGGAAATTATCGTTCCGAGCGTGGCGTATTCGATGCCGGATAAATAAATAGGATAATCTACGCTATTGGCATAAAAAAAATTAAAATCACAATTGTGTGTGTGACATAGGAAATTCGCGAAGCGAATTCCTGTTTTGTGTTCGTCTCCAATCGAGAACTCGGTTCGCAACTATTCGCTCCAATTCTATTACATCAAATCGCAAGTTTACGACAGCGTAGTCGACTAATAGTTAAACTTTGCCAATTACGGGTCAAAACTTTGCACACGTGCTTAAACTTATCCAACTGCCGTTTTTTTTAACTTGTGCTAAGTTTTTCTGAATTAACTCTATCAATGTTTGCTGTTATCTAGATGAAGTTATCTAGATAATAATTTAAATGAAGCAATTGATCAAACAATCTCATCTTTATCTAGATAATAATAGGATGTTATGATATTATCTACATCTTTATCTTGGATAAAAAAATGCATCATCTGCCTTAAATTATCTAAGATAATGACTGCATTCAGCAGAACTCTGCCCTTAGTAAGCACTTTATGTTTCTTTTAATATATTTGGTTCTTATTTTTAAATCCAACGGAGAACCAAAGGTAAGATCCATCGTATTAAAGAACCCCAAGCACTGTACTCAGTGTGAAACTATAAAGAATAGACCTAAAGTGTATTGCGACATATTGCCTTGTGCGCGCGTGGTATTTTTCATTGCCGAATGTGATTTTTTTAATTTTGTGCAATTTTTCTATTAGTAATATCACAGCGGAAGATAAAAAAGTATTTAATGAACAAATTTGTAGATATTATTTTAGTTGTCATTGACATTTCCTTAATTATTTTTTTTAAAGCAATATTATCTTAATATCATGTAGATAAAATGCTTTATAATTTCATCTATTATCTAGATAAATTTGAAATAAATCATCTTTATCTTATCTAAGATAAAATTTTATATTGTATTCTATCTTTCTTTATCTAGATAATTTCAATATTATCTATGCAAAACATTGTCTATCATACATTGTAAATATAAATGTCATACATGTATGTATGTATATAAAATATGTACGCCTTATTTTTTTTTTAGCGCAATATGAGTACACAAGAGTCACGATGATAATTTTTCATTTTAAACGAATAACGCTTGATTTTTAAAATTTTATTCTGCTGTTTCACGGAAATGAAAAATGTAGTGATTCATAATCGAATGTTAGCGGTAATATTTTAATATTCTTCATTTAAAAACGCTTGCGTTTATACTTTATATTTCTTATTTAGTTTTTTTGCTAACTATGTGTATAAAACATATGTAGTTAATATGTAAAACTACGAAGCGCACTCATTACTTTTCATTCTCGAAACAGCTATCCATTATATGTAGTATATATGCATATTAATAAATATCGCGAGGCACACAGCGATTTCCTTATGAAAAATAAATGCTGCTGCCATATATTAATAATCACATATGTATGAAACATATATTTCTATGTATGTATCTACAGATACCATATTTCCCTCAAGTATAGGAAAAGTAAGATATAATCAAATGTTTCTAAATATTTGTGCATTGAAAATCATTGTACGTTTGGCATTAATAATGCTGGAAAATACACTGAACACTATCAGAATATGATATTACACACGATTTTTGATACGTTCTGATATATCTTGTATTGTATCTTATTTCTCTCTGTACTCTGTCTTTCATTTCTTTACTTTTATAGCAAATAGAACGGTATTTACTTCATTTCTCCCTTATTTACTCATTTCTTTTAATGAAAATTGTATTATCTTTTTTTGTATCTAGGACTTTTTTTATTTACTCAAATCTTGTAAAAGAATTCCCTGAAAATTCCTTGATCTTCTAGATATTTTTGTTCAAAATCTCAGATAAAAAGAATATTTTAAGGATTTTTTGGTGCAATTTCTTAAAATGAGTTTTTTTTTATTGTACGCGTTTTCTAATGCTTTTCATTCACCCAAAGAAAAAACACAAAGCCACTTAAGTTTCAAGTGCTAAATTTACAAATGTACTGAAAAAAAAAACTTAAAAGCTTTCGTTAAGATAAAAATGTTTAACTTGCATAACATTTTCATATTTTATCACTAAAAATTAAAATAAAGAATATGACTATATTTTAAGATATTAATTCAATATTTTAAGATATTAAATATATATAAATAGAGATAAATATATATTTATAACAAATAATTTACTTGGCCTGCCGATTATTTACAATATAAGAGCAAAATTATAAAAAAAAGAATTTTTTGAAAAATTTTCCGAGACTTCCAATAAAATTCTATAAGAATTTCTTGATTCCTCTAGGTACAAAAAAAATCCCTAAGAATTTCAGGTGTTCCATATTTTTTCAGGGAATAGACACCCTGTATTTTTTTCTATCTTACCTGGAGACACTGCGGGCCAAGTGAAGGGCAGATGTGGGCGCGAGGGAATCCCTTCGGTCGCATCTACATCTGTACTGATGCGATTGCCTGGAGGAACGGGCGCTGTAGGACGTCGGCTGCGCTTGTAGCTGCGATTGTTGCAGCTGCGGCGGTTGCTGAATCTGCGGCGGAGGCGGCAGCGGCGGCGACGGCTGCGGCTCGCCGTCAAGCCGGCAGTGAAGCTCGATGTCCGGTACCGATCTGGTCGCCGGATCCTCGTTGGTGCCGCTCTCCTCGGAGCCGCCGAGTCCGGACACGGACAGTTGCGGCGAGGCGACCAGGAAGGTTGCCCGATCCTGCCGCGTCAGCACCGGCTTGCCCTGAGACGCCGCGGCCACCACGACCGGCGGCGGCGGCGGCCTGCCGAGCAGCGCCGCCGTCTCCTCGTTACCGCCGTAATCGGTACCGGCACCATCTTCCTGCGCGACCGCGTTTCCGTTCGTGTTCATCTCGTGCCGGCTAGTAATCCGCCGCTACGTTACGTCGCCATCCCCTGAAACGGACCGAAGAACGTGACCTTTAATCATCTCAAGTTTCGATCAAATGTCATTCACAAATACAAATAGACGCGTCATAACTTCCAATTGCTCAACACTGTGAAAAAACTGACTGAAATACAGATGAAAATGTATCTGAAATTTTTAAAAATTTTGTACAGTTAAGATCACTAATAAATTTTAATTAATTTTGAAATAAATTCTAAAATCTTTTCTTAACTTATTACAGAGAATTCGGAGTAGGAAGAAACCAAACTCGGAAACATTTAATAAAATCGTCGCAAATTGATCTTACAAATTATTTCTTCACTTGGCACACAGTGAAAAAGAACTGACTGAAACTTCAGGCAAAGTGTTTGCAGCTTCTTTGCAGACACACTCAATTTTCAGACATAATGTTCTCTGAATTTTCAGACACACTCTTCTGAACTTTCAGAAAAAAAAAAACGACTCTAATGATTAAGACAGATTGTCTAAAATTTCTTTCAGACACCCAGATCTGAAAATTCAGACAAAAATGTGTCGGATCTTTTAGAAAATTTTTTACAGTGTAATAAACAAAATATAATTGTATCTTCCATTATATTATCGTCAAAACATATATTTTATAACTAATCAAAATGCCATCAATTTTATACAGACAAATGGTATAATAATCACAAATTCACTACAAATATCGATCATTCAAACATTCAGTGATAATAAAACTTAATGAGCAAAATGTAGAATCGCAAAATTGTCAAAGAATTTGACACGTACACCTATTCTAAAATTGCTTTATATATTTTTTAATCACAGAAAAGTTGTAAATTTAAAATAAATTTAAAATAAATTTGTAATTTTAAAGTAAATTTAAAATATCATCATAAAGTTTGTAGGGATAGATTTTCTAATGCTCTAGTAATTGTTGAGAAATCTTGTAACGCAAAATGCAACAATACTCTTATCGTGTTACATGCTCGTTACGATGGTTAATGTTTATCATTTCGCAGCAAACACGGTATTACACGAGTAACACAGGCACTCGATTTGCTTCTCTGTTGACTTTGCGTAGACTACAAACCGCCATTAGTTTAGCAGTAGCGCCGAAATAGTTGTCGGCGTAGATTCGCGCGCGTGCTTAGAAATGACAGATGTAGAGAGCCGCGCGAGCAACGTCAGGACGAATCGAGATAAGGATAAGAAATGCAAGAGGAGAGATATCTCTTGAGCCATTTGCACCAGAAAGAGAGAAATCGTCACCTGTCTGTTGTATTTCCGAGCTGGTTGCACCAACGTTGGTTGCCGCTTCATTAAATCTTGTCTCTCTCTGTTATTGTACAGCGATCATTCAATAACAAGCAGAAAATGGAACCACTTATTTCCAAAACATATTTTACTACGATCAAATAGATATGTGATATAGTTGTAGTTTGTAATTTAAAAAGAGATTTCTTTTTAAGAGATAAACGCGTGTTATTTTATTCAAGAGATTAGCAATATATTAATTATAATCGACAAAACTTTTTTTCTCGATATTACAGTTACAGCTACGAGACAAAAAAATTAATCATAGGTATAATCAATCGAAATTGTCGGTGCAACCACCAACTTTTAAGATCGATTGCATACACGCCAATCATTAAAATTAATAATTTTTTTATTATTTAAATTATATATAAAATCTAGAAAGGGACGAGCAATCAGAATTAATTGAGATTCAATAGCATTATCACTGTAGACAAAAGTGTTTGACTAAAGCAACACTGTTAAAAAAATTGGTTAAAACTCTTCAGGCACAAAGTGTCCGCAGCTTTTTCGCAGACACACCGAATTTTCAGACAGAATGCTATCTGAATTTTCAGACACACTTCAATTTTCAGACACACTTTTTTCAAGACACACTTCAATTTTCTTTTGAACTTTCAGAAAAATGACTCTGATGATTAAGACAGATTGTCTTAATATTTAGAAATTTCTTTCAGACACCCAAGTCTGAAAATTCAGACAAAAATGTGTTTGAATTTTTAGAAACTTTTTTACGATGTTTGATCAACTTCATCCCCTGTCTCATATAGAGTCTCATTTGTTTCATCTTCAAACTGTAAAATTAGAAATTTGGTTCCCTCCTAGACCATTCTTTTCATCTTTAAACTGTAAAATTAGAAATTTGATTCCCTCCTAGAGGGAATCGTGTCTTGACTATATATCAATCGAAATTAACGGCGAGTCACGAGTTCGAGAGATATCTACGTGAATATTGGTTTCCGAGCTGTCGCCGAATGGTACTCGCGGCAAATTTCGAGTATCACCTACCAAAAGTGTTTCGAGAGTATCGACCGCAAACGATGGCGGTGCCAGGCCCGGTTTGTGGCCTTTCGAGATTTCCGATGTGAGATGCGCCGACGGCGGCATGCCGCAAGATTTGCCAAACTATTAGAATCGACCATTTAACACATAGCGGGTGATCTATTTGGAACGCGAAACTTGGGACAATAAATGGGGCTCTACTGGATTTTTTATTTATGACGGACATTGAGTCGAGACCGATCTGACAATGAGTTAAGAACGAGAGCCAGATAAAGTCGATATAGACATCAGTATTTGTTTTAGTAAAAGTTTCATGTTGGATTCGGACGCCAAAAAATATATGACGGTCCCGCGTTCAATTTTTATCGGAAGATAAGTGGTGTGGTTAAGAAATTGCAAAGTAAAGTTGCCTCCGGTCACAGAGAGTCTCTCCATTTGATAATAAATTCGCAGCTTCTGGCATTCGTAATAACTTTGTCCGTCTTTCTGTTGACTCAATTTTATACTTGACTAATCTAAGTAACTGTCAAGGCATTTTTCGCAGACGCTTTTTATACAAGGAAAAATTTCGTCTTAATACCCGCGGAAAATTGGATCTTGGATCGTAAAATGGAACCGGTAATAGAGTAATTTCATGACGGAGCATGATCACGTAAAAACCACATTAGCGCAATTAAATGATCGCTAAGCATATAAAGTGAACGATTGTACAAGCAAGATTACGACTGACGGTTAAGAGCAACCATAAAAGGTGACCACCTTTATTAGAGTCACATCCTCGTAAATTAGCTTGTGTCTCGCAAGATCTAACATTCTTTTCCACTTAATTTAATGCATTATCGCATCGCGAAAGTCTTCCGCTGTCAGCGGAACATGAACACCAAGACAATTCAAAATTATTTAAAGATAAGAAAAACATGTTGTAAAATATCTGTAGTTTATATTATTTAAATAAGTGAATCAATAATAAACACATTTAACGCTATATGACTATATATGTGTTTCATCTACACTGTAAAAAAAACTGACTAAAACTTTAGACAAAGTGTCTGCAGCTTTTTTGCAGATACACTGTCTGAATTTTTTTAGACAGAAAGCTTTGTCTGAATTTTCAGACACACTTCAATCCTCAGACACATTCTTCTGAACTTTCAGAAAAACGACTCTGATAATTAAGACAAATCGTCTGAAATTTTTTTCGACGAATCTAAAAATTTAAACAAAAATGTGCCTGAATTTTTAAAAAATTACAGTGGTTTATTATAATTTGAAATAAAAAAAAAAATTAATCTGTAATCATACTATTATATAAAGAAGAAAAGTTTGTTTGTTTGTTCTATTGTTCGGAGTAATCTCAGAAACTACTGAACCGATTTCAAAAAATCTTTCACTGGTGGATAGCTTAGATCTTCCTGAGTAACATAGGCTATATATCATCGCGCTGCAACGTCTAGGAGCCGAAAGAAAGCAGTAAGAAGCACGTACGTGCGGAGCGCGCGAAGCGCGCGAAGAACGAACGCCATCTAGTTGAGAATATAAGTATCTAATTTTTAACACCTTGTTTAACTATCCTGTTTATTTACCTTATTACCCGATTTTAAATATTGACATTTATATCCTCTTTTCCGTGCTATGTTTAACTTATGTTATAACAATAATTTACACGCCACGTGTCTTCATCATTCAAGACACGCGACATGTCCGCCTATATTCAAAGTAAAATAAGAAACAAACGGTTGTGTTTAGTATGCGCGGGAGGAGAGAAAGCAAAGTTTAAGTTTTTCCTGGATCAATGTCCGATCCCTACGAGCGAAACCGTGTCCTTTGCACGTGTTAAAGTGGCTCAGCATAAAACATGGGATAGGAGAAGCCCACGCAACTCCCGCGAAAGCTACGCAAAACTCATGCCCTTCTTCTTCATGTGTTCAATTTTTCAGCGACCTCCCGCTTCTTTCGCAGCACCTTGCTCGCTACTACATACTCGAGGACCCTTATACCGCTCCTGGGACTTGCCGAGAAATTTTTCGCCGTCGAAATACAGGTGAGATCGTCATCTCCGTCGTGGAAAAGGTGAGAGGTCGATATCGGTCGACACACCTAACGGAACACGGATAGAATTTCTCTCCAGATACACTTTCGCGAAAATGTTATTGAAAATGGAAAATAGTATACAGTAATATCCTTCTGAGATAAACTACATCGAGCGGCGGAGATAAACTGCATCGAGTAAAATGACATAGAGACGAATTGATAGTTTCAGAGAAAATAGTTTAATGGAAAAATAGCGAAATACACGTTTGTATTTATTGGTCCTATATTTTCATGATATGAGTAAACAGTTGGTCGATAAAAAAAAATTAGTGAGTAAAATTTAAATTTAAATAAATTTAATTAAAATTTTAAATAAATTGAAAAAAATATTTGGATTAATTAAGCAACGCGTCTTTTTAAGCAATATTTATAAATTTCTCCCAACATCTCGACATTTTATAACAAAATTCGCCAAGTCCTCGCCTCTCCCATCGCGTTAAAAATGTCTCAGGTCCCTCAGAGGAATATAAGCGTGAATAATTGAATGAATGAATATC